GATTGATGTTGGATTATATCTGTTAGGGATGTCTATATCCTTTATATTCTGTACTTACAGGTACATTTGAAATGTTTTACTTCGCACTCTTTTCGCTCTGCACATGGATCACATTTCATATAACCCGCTAGCGTTCTGATTGGCTCTTGCCTCTTTAAATGTACTAATTATTCCTTACTTTTCAAGGTTACTGTTAACTCCTCTATAAATAGGGTCCGTTTTCACTCATAAACGTTTTCAGTCCGAGATATTATAAACTCAACTAATTTCCAGTCTTTTGATTTCTTTTTGCAAATCATTCGAGTTGAATCGTCTCAACTCTTGACTATCAGTCATTAAGTATTATCGTTCGTTCTCACAACTCCGTATCGTAACAACATCACTACAAATCGGATGAATATTTATAGAGAAACGAGCCTGGTAAAATGACCTAATTAACATGTGAATAATGAGTATGGTTCATTATGAGGAGACGATATGAAAAGCAGGACAAAAGATAACATAAGCTTAGACGGAGGTCTTATTTTGCATCGTCAGCATCATACTTCAGGTTGATAAGATATTTCATCATACAGCTTTTAGGACCTTTTCATCTCTGCATGATTTTAGTCATTAGCATAAATTCCCGATCAACCGATGGATAGTTGTTTTTCTGTTTAAACTACTTGCTTATTTATTGAAATTTCAATTTTCAGTATTTTCCTTGGAATATATGCTTCTATATTAACATGGGTGGTTGGACTTGTATATCACAATGACTCAAAAAGCTACACTTATTCCCTCGAGGTCCTACCATGCTAGAAAGGTCTGCTAGATAGTGGTTAGGCAAAAAAAAAGTTAGGATAATAGTGTAAATTGTTATGCTTTGATGAGGGTTTGAGGGCGAAGTCATACTGCTGACTGGATGGGGTGTAATAGTATTAAGTTGTTTCCCTTGGATGACCAGCAGTACCGTGCTGATACTACCTCCCCCCTATGAGGAAGTTGGAGTGGTTAGAAAAGGTTGGCACACTCCGTACCCCACTGTCTACTATTGCCGGTGTTATGGGTTTCCTGTATCCAGTGTTAAAGCACTCAAACCTCATACCAACAATTCTAAAAATGTTGTATGCGATAGACCTCAAGCAGGTGTCCCATAGGCTCTCTTTCAGGTGCCCTAAAAAGAAGTCTTATATCCATCCCCTCATACATCGTTTATGAATAATTGTGGATATTTTTGTTGCTTTTTCGTTGAGAAACCGGTTTTCTTCTTCTAGAGCCCAATATGTTAAAACGTTTACGTTGCTGTCTTTATAATAGTGATTTTGACTCACAAATGCATAAGCTTAACAGTCATATAGGAGCTAAAACAGTTGAGTTGATTTACTACTGATAATGTATGTGATACTGATACTGACTAATTAACCTATTTCCCTAAAATATGGTTTGTTTAAAGTAAAACCTAAAAATCAGTGTGCAATGGTGGAATGCTGGAACTCCGCTCGGTTAATTTCCACACTTTCGGCTTTTGTGATTGTGGCCTCAAACTGCTCTCAACTTTGGCTTTGACAACTAAATAGTATCACAAACCCTTACAAATAAAATGTAGCTCATACGTAGCCTAGTTTACATACATTTACCGGGTTGAGTTGCATTTAAATTGCATTGTAAACTTTCTACCAGGAGATCAAACTAGGTCTATCCATCCGCCGAGATTAGAACGGTTGATACTATCCAGTGAATCGCCTAAAACTAAAGAGCTATGGATAGATGTTTACTTCTCGTTTAACTTTTCTGCAGTGTTTAACGATAACTGCATATAAGATTGAAAGTAAAACATCTCCTTGACACTGCGATTACCCTTACCTCTAGACCACCGATTAGTTAGAATCCAATGATATAATTTCTAAGCAGTTATTATCTTCAATATACATGTTTAGAAGCTTTAGTGGAACGTTGTGGTCGATGACAACATGAAAGGAAAAGTGTCCAATGCTTTATTATTCTAAATGTTTCTTTAACTACTGCCAACTCATCATAAATAAAGCAACCTCAAAATAAATATATTTAAGTAACATGATGAAGTACATCTTACTATTTGGTTTTTGTTAATATAAAGCGATTGCAAGGTTTCGAACTCAGATGTCTTCTTAGCATCGCTCGCGTATGATGGAATGGCCTTGTTATGAATGTAGAGGTTAGGCGAAAGGTACTAAGCAAGAGAGAGAAGTCGGTCGATGAGGTTATGGACCTTCAACGGATGATGTGGCTTGGACATTTGTTGCGCATGCTGAACTCACTGCCTACCTGGAATTACAGTTCTAGGCGAAATTGGATTATGTCGGAAGATGGCTCAGGGTGGCTAGATCAAGATGTGATATTGATCCATGAAGTCTCTGACTGTTGATCTGAGCCGTGTAAGGAGGTGTAGACTGCCTGACTGAAGTCTTCAAGATGATAGGAATCTATGGTTGGTGACTGAGAAAAATAAGCTAATTGTATTCAAAAACAATTCTAACCACCTTCTACCATATTTTGATTGTGAATTTACTCAGCAACCTTGTAAACATTCGTACAGTAAACAATAAGCAACACCTATTGTGTGAGGGTTACTGATACCACCTGGCTCCCCACAACTCGGCAGGTTGAGCGGTGTTTGAACCCGTGACTCATTGATTGATAGTCAACTTCTTAAACCAGGAGGCTAACACTCCAAGATTTCAATTTCTCAATTGTGTAAAGTATATTCCCAGCTTAAAAATCATAGTTAAGATTAGTCATCTTTTGTATGCGAAGGCAAGACATGTCATTATAATAGTTTCTTAGATATAGGGTTTTTGTTCCCAATAACGAAAAATGCTTTGTGCTCTAATAACTAGTTATTACTTCAACCAAGCTGAAGGTGAGAAGAAGTGAAATTTAACCATATACATCACAACTCTTCAGGTGTATATAGTCAATAATCGCGTGTGCTCTTTAACAACTGGACTAAATATAAAAAACTCTTGGTTCGCTTCTACACACCCTCACACTACCACACACATTTTTGGAGTTACGGCCCACTGGTTTACGGAGTCGACTATCAACCAGTGGGTTGAGAGTTCCAAAAGCATTTCACCTACCGAAGTTTGGATAGCTATATAGTGAAGTCATTCGCTCTCACACAATAAGTGTCACTCATCGTCTACTAGATGAATGTGCTCAAGGTTGCTGGCTGTTTCTCGATTTTCTGCTACACTCATTTTTAGCAAGAACACAAAAGTTTCAATAGTGAACTTGATTATTTCCAAGTCAAAACGAGTGATGACATTGTCTTATGCCTTGGTAAATAAAAACGAATGATGCTGATGCATATCTCGATATTGAAATATTCATCATCCAGAAATGGATCCTAATGAACAGTTCATTGCTGAGTAAGTTATGCTAATAAAGTGCTATACGTGTAGAAGAGAGGCATGGAATACTTTCCAAGTCAGTCAGTTAAGTTGTCTTTCTTTACTTAATTCACTTGAAATATGCTAGCTGTACACCAGTTTAGTTTTCCGTAATTTAAAAAAACAAAAGAAAGCACTCACTAGCAACAGTAATGGAGAATATTTATAACTGAGAAGAATAATTTATAGTGATGTTGGGTTCTTTGAGCTGTATGGTTTAATCATGAAGCTTCCATTGTCATTCTAGACAACATCACCAGCATAAACTACAGGAAGAAGTGAGATATAAAGTTTCCTCTACAGATATGGGTTAGTAACTTGTCCTCATTACCTTGAGTGACTGGTTGTTTCTGTTAGAGTCTCCTCATTGTCTCCATATTTATTTTGACGGCATCAAATTCACAATTGAAGCGGAACCAAAAAACAAAGTTACATTTCCAGATGCTCTGATTACTAGAACACGGATTCGGAGAAATTGGAAACTGAAGTATGCAGAAAGCCAACTCATATGGATCAAGTTCGCCATTATAGTAGCAACAATTCAGTAGCACACAAAACGAGTTGTATGAAAACATTGTTGAAAAGAGTGAAAACATGCTGTAGTGCATCAACCCTGTGGAGGAAAGGAGAAAACTATTTGATGACTGTTTTCTAGAAGAACAGCTATCCACACAACTTCGTCAATCAAGAAGTCAGCCTCGAAAGTCAATAAAGGGATTGTCCTACTCTACATGAAGAATGTCTCCGAGATCACGATTAGATTACTGAAGCTTTTTGGAATCAATATATCTCACAAGCCCAAAAGATCTCTTCACTCTCTGTTATCCAGGTAAGAAGATGCAGGAGCAAAGGAAGACAAATCAGACAATAATCTACAAAATAAACGGTGAAAAACATTACATCGGATAGAATGGTCTCGCTCTTCTCATCCGTGTACATGAACATCAACTAGCTAGCAGTGAAGTGTCATGATATATCTTCACCCATATCAATGCATACGGACAACTGTGAGCATGAATTTGACTAAGGAAATGTGAAAATCCTTGACAGAAAAAAATACAAAGAATGTGAGAGAATTTTTAATAGCTTGGTATTTAGGTCAATTAACGATCAACAGGCATATAGCCATTGATCCAATCTATCAACCAATGAGAAACAACAAGAGAGTCATAGTTCTCGTCAGTAGGACAACCAATTTTAATAAATATGGAGACAATGGGAAGACTTTGACAGAAACAGTCTATCACATACAAGGCTGCTAAGCAATTTGTAAAGAAAACCGTATAGCTTGATTCTTTCGGAAGTTTGTGGTGATGATGTTGCCTAGAATGACAATGAAAGCTTCATGATGGAACCATCCAGCTCAAAGAATACAACACCACGAAAAACTGGTAGCAGTACTAACAAGTGTGAAAGATGTAAGTTTATTGTGTATAGTACTGATTATTTCTTTATATTTTTGTACAGATAGATATATACTTTGTTTCTACACATATTTCTATCCATTTATCCGTCTTTTCTTCTTTTTCTGTGTTTTTCTCTTCTCATTTGAAAAAAAACAAATTATGAATGTTACTTCTTAATTAGATGAAATTGGTACATTGTTTACATTGGAAATATTAATGGTACAAGAGAATTCATTGAGTGATTTACCAGAAACACTGGCTCAGTGTACACAGTTACGTGTACTCGATATAAGACATAATAAACTATGCGAAATTCCAAGAGTTGTTTATAAATTATACAATTTAACACATTTATTTCTACGCTTCAATCGAATCCGTGTGGTGGATGAAGATATCAAATATTTAACTGTAAGCAATTCCATGTTCTTGTTGTTGTTGTTGTTGGTATTGACACATGCTCACTTCCTCTTTGTTACGCAGATTGTTATAAATGCTGAGAAGAAGAAAAGAAGTATATCTATGTACAGTCGTGTAAACTGTTTTCGATGTATGTTCCAGATTGTGTGTGTGTGTGTGTGTGTGTATGTGTATGTCAGCACCTGATACAATGATGAAAGAGATGTTCATTTTGGATTTCTTATAAACTGGTTTTTTTTGTTATGTTAGCTTGAACAAGTTATAATATCTTCCAGATTTTAGCATATATGATCAATTTTTTTCCCTAGTTTGCGTTGAACCTGAAACTGAGACGTCAAACAAGACATTGTTTAACATTTGGTCTATGCTGACGCCAGAATTAGGAACTGATAAACTATTTCATTGTAGGTGTATATAACAGAATTAGATGGCCTTATTATGTCCCACTTGAAGATGAAAGATGCTGAATAGACAACTTCCTGTTCTGATATACCTAGGCCGTTATACTTAATCTCTTGTAGAAACAGTGGTTTAGGCAATTATTAACCTGAAGTCTAGAGGTTATTGAAAAATGGTAAATCTCCGTTTTCTTATCCAAACTAAGTATGTACTCAGAGCCATGTGTTAGAAAGAAAACTATGTTGAGTGAAAGACGCTAAAGAAAAAGTTGACTGCAAGTCTTCACAATAGGTTTGAGAAGTGATGATTGGTTAAGGATAAGGAGATGAAAACGATATTAGTATTTGTCAGTTGTCTACAACTTTTCAAAATCATTATGGACAATGAATAATACAATTTTAGCTAAGGACTATGATTATTCAGTGATGTCAAAAGAAACTCCCCACTGTATCTCGAGTAAGCAGATGATGTAATCCCGGTAGACGGAGACGTTGATAAAATGCAGTCCTCTGGATGTTTTGAATGACAATGCCATAATGTTGAATACGCATCTTTCATCTTCTAGATAGAAACTGTTGATTTAAGAATGATTTGTATTCATATCTCTTCTAACAATATGGATTCAAGTTGTTAAGTGCGTTTATCACTTCATTTATACCAGGAAATTTGAATCAGTCCTGTTGCATCAGTAGTTACCAGTAAATATTTGGCACGGATACAAAATTTCTCAAATAATATTCGCTAACTTACATTATCTATGACCCCAGTGAATTGGTTCAACTGTCCCAGTTCTTAAAAAAGGGTCGTTCTATATTCCATTGAATTTTAAAAACATTGTAGAGCAGGCTACGTAAAGGAATAAAGTAGATTTTGACGAGAAAATTTATTCATAGATTTACTTTTCTGTAGACAGTGAATAATAAACGTATATATCACTGTCAGAGACTAACTACAATCTGATACATTAGTATCGTGTTGGTATTCATCAACCTGTATACCTTATTTCACAATCTACTTCTGAAGCAAGTGTGGAATAATTAAGTTGCGATACTATAAACACCTCTCTACTCAAATTAAGTCGTTTACATCAGAGTTATTTTGTAGAGTTATTATATAAGATGAATTGTTATCTACATCTATCACTATGGTTTAGCGTCATTGCAGTTGTATTGATGATGGAAGAGTGATGTATTTAAACACCTTGTGAATGAATTAAATAAAGTATGGAAATTATGTAATTGTGTTAAGAGAATACATTTAAGAGTTGTGGGATCTAGTGAACATCTTTAGTGAAAATTTGACAGCAGTTTCAGTGCTTTGGGATACAAGATTATTCTCTAGGATAGATTTGTATCATTACTGAGTTTATGTAGAAGGAGCGACTCGACTGATTGTGCTGTTGTTGTGTTTGTGATTACGCACCACACCCCTATCGAATGACTGACTAACTTATATACGAGATATGATGGAGCCCAGAGGAAAGGTAGAAAGGAGTAAAATTGGTTTGCCTGAGATTTTTAACTATCTCAGAGAAGACCGATACTAACCTGAGATGCATGTGCATGTATACATGAGATGTGGCTTTGTTAGTAATTAGGGTTAATAATTGAGGTATTTGAAGGTAAGAGTGAAGTAATCAGTAATTGGCTGATGAGAGAAGTAGGGGGTGATGATGACCTACGGGTTATGGCGTAAAAAATGTGAGAAATTGTAATTTTGCGTGCATAATAAAATGATTAATGTTGTATTTGTAGTAAATGATGATTGAAGGTGAGATGAAAATGTAGACCTCTGTCGGATTCGAAGCAGTGACCACCGGGTTACCGATTCGGTGCTTTACCTTCAGTTATCACCCAGTATAAATACTATTCTGACAAACTTCGGCTATGTGAGATAGTGAAATGAAAATCAATATGATGCTCGGCCTCTGCGATTCAGTTAGATTGTGATTGGAATGAGAAGTGTTGACTAGGGAGGCAGTGTGAATACGATGAAGTGGTAGTAAGGCGTCCGGAATTCACATGGTAGTCGGGTGAAACCCTAGTTGGTTGAAGTGAAATAAAATCGTGTTGAGCAGTGGGACCTGATACATCAGTTGTTAGAATATTGGGCCGGTAACCTGTTGTTCGCTGGTTGGAATGTGGCATTCGTCCAGATTTCCATCTCACCTTCAATCATCTCGCAGTATAAATTCTAATCTGCCAAGGCTGCTTCGTTATTTATCAGCTCACAATTATACTACGAATAAGATATCTCCATATTTGTCAAAAAGTGACTTCATTGATTGATAGTTCTCTTCATTCTAGTGCTTGGGATGCTTTTTTTTCCAGAACACGACACTTAACACGACTGCGAAGGCATTCTTGAATCCTTTTGTCAGGTGTTTTGAAACAGCTTTAGGTTAGATGTTCCTAATTTTATAACTCCTTGAGTCATTTTATCAACATGTACTAACTAAACTGGTCTCTACCACTTGCTGCATTTGTTGGAGTAGATTGACATAAATTACCCTGGAATCCAGATGAACGAACAATTGTTTAATGCTTAGCATATGTCGATTGGTTAGCGAGTAGTTTCAGTTATTTGTGATGGCATATTTTGTTTAATAGCATCTATCGTTTACTCTAGATTATTATTATTATTATTAGTCCCTTGGGTTCCTAGTGGAACATAGGGCTTCAGCAGCACGCCTCCAGTGACCTCTGTTCTCTGAGATCTTTTGAACCTGGTCCCACGACAGCCCAGAAGCTCTCATTTCCTGCTCGCACGACCTCCTCCATGTCACCCTCGGACGTCCAACTCGTCGCTTCCCATGGGGATTCCACTCGAGGGCCTGACGCGTGATGTCCTCAGTCGGCCTTCTCAGTGCATGGCCAATCCATCTCCACTTCTTCCTGCATATTTGTTGCGTGATAGGTTCTTGGTTGGTTCGTTCCCAGAGTTCCTTGTTGCTTATTTTTTCTGGCCATCTGATCTTCAGCAGCGAGCGTAAGCAGTTGTTGATGAATGTCTGTAGTTTATTGGAAATACCTTTCGTGACGCGCCAAGTCTCTGAGCCATACAAGAGCACTGACTTTACGTTGGTGTTGAAAATCCGTATCTTGTTCCGCATGCTGAGTGCAGAAGATCTCCACACTGGTTTCAGGCTGATGAACGCCTGTCTTGCTTTTCCGATTCTGACTTTGACGTCCTCGTCCGTCCCGCCTGTAGTTGAAACAGTGCTTCCTAGATAAGTGAAGGAGGTTACTTCCTTTAAGTTTCTCCCGTTGACGGTGATTGGAGTTTGTTGTTGTTGTTGTTGATGGTGGTGGTGCGGTATCTTCATCACTTCTGTCTTCTCTATATTCACCTGAAGTCCCGTCTTCGCTGCCTCTTCTATCAACTTGTTAGTTTTTGCCTGCAGATCTTCAAGTTTATGTGACATTAGGCATAAGTCATCGGCGAAATCCAAGTCTTCTAGGTTCTTTTCCGTCGTCCAGTGTATCCCCCTCTTCTCGCTGCCTACTGTTTGCTGCATGATCCAGTCCACCACAATTAGGAATATCATGGGGGATAGTAGGCAACCTTGTTTCACTCCTGTCTTCACTTCAAAGGCATCACTGAGCTTCCCATTGTGGATTACTTGGCATGTGGCATCTTCATATAGTTGTTGAATGAGGCGGATAAAGGTTTGCGGTACTCCGTAGTATTGAAGCAGTTTCCAAATTACTTCTCGGTCGACGCTGTCAAAGGCCTTCTCAAAGTCGATGAAGTTGAGGTATAGAGCTGATTGCCATTCTACGCTCTGTTCTATGATGATACGAAGCGTTGCAATTTGGTCAGCACATGATTTGTACTTCCTGAAGCCTGCCTGTTCCGGTCGCAGTTTTGAATCCAGTGCGTCTTTAAGCCTCTCCAGGATGATGCGGCTTAATATTTTACTTGGGGTGGACAGGAGAGTGATTCCGCGCCAGTTCTTGCAAGCACTGAGGTCTCCCTTCTTCGGCAGTTTGACAAGGTAACCCTTCTTCCAATCGTCCGGTACCTTCTCTTCCTTCCACACCTTCTGCAATAGTGGTGTGAGCATGGCCGCTGTTGTCTCTGCATCTGTTCTCAGTGCTTCTGGCGGTATTCCATCTGGTCCTGCTGCTTTCCCGCATTTCAGTAGCTTTATGGCGTTCAGGACTTCCATTTTCGTTGGGGGATTAATGTTCACTTGTAGTTCAGCGGCTGCAGGTGGTATTTCTGGACGAAGTGCAGGTGGTGGTCGATTCAAGAGCTTCTTGAAGTGGTTGGCCCATTGTTTCCTCTGTTTCTCTTCTTTCGTAATTAAATTTCCTTCTTCATCTTTTATTGGTTTCATCTGTGTTGGTCTATTCCCTGATAGCAACCTGGTTATTTGATACAATGTCGTCAGGTCTCTCTTACCTGCAGCCTGTTCTGCTTCACTTGCCAGTGTTTCGTAGAAGTGTCTTTTGTCTTTGCGTGCACTCTTCTTCACTTCTTTGTCCAGTGTTTTATACATTGTGCTCAGTTCCTCTTGTCGTTGAGCATCCTTGCACTGGTTTATCTTCTGCTTCACCATCCTCCTCTCCTCTATCAGCTTCCAGGTA